GCATTTATAGAGAGCACCGATCGATCGGCAGAGAGTGAATATCGGCCGATATCGATCGGAGCATCCCTAATGATATTCTTCATTTGTCACATTTACTAGCAAGGTTCACTTACTGTACAACATCCTTTTCTACAGATTTATTCCCTGGAACTCACCCTTCTAAATAATAATAGAATGGTGGGGTGGTTACATCCAGTTTAAAGCAGTAATACCTGGAGGCTGTTCCAGTGCTGTTGGAGCTGATCGATGTTGTTCTGCGGTTCGCTGTAGCTGAGCGCCTGGTCCAGAGAGCGGAGCTCCCACTGCAGCACTGCAGCTTTATCCTTCAGCCCCTGGGCCTTCTTGGCCACTTGACTATCCTGCTCCTCCAGCCGAACCTCACAGGCCGCCAGGCGCTCCCTAACCTCCCGCTCCGAGGTGGCACAGAGGTCGTGGAGATGGCTGACCTCCAGGGTAAGGGCATCCCGACCTCCAGGGGAGCAGAGGCTCAGCAAACTGTCTCTGGCAGAGTCCAGCTCCTTCATCTCCCTCTGCTCTCTATCCACTGTCTGGAGTAAAGCCTGGCATCAGCAGGGAGAGAAAGATTATTAGAATGCAATTGACATTCTTGGAAAGAGCCCCTAATATTTGGATACAATAAATGTTCCAAGATGAGACATGCCAGTCATTGCGGAAAAATGTAACACACATTCCCAGTTCAAACACGAGTTATCATCAAAACATGTCTTAACCAGTAATTACAAAAAGCTTGGAAATGTTGTTGTTGTTGTTACTGGTTAAGATTTTTTCAGTTTTCAATATTTTCAGTGACAGATTGCTGCAACTGGCTTCTCTCAAATATCTAAACTAATAATGATGTGTAAATGTGTCTGACCTTTAGAGTGTTGACAGTGTTGTGTAGACCCTTTCTGTCTGCAGGAGGGGCTCCCAGGCCTTTAACGTGCTCCCTCAGCCAATCCTGAGCTGCTACATGCTGCTCCACCAGCTGGGTGCACTGCCTCTCCGTCACCATGCCCTGCTCCAGGTTTGCTACCGCTTCCTGAAAACAACAGTAGTTACATTTTTTCAGACAAAGAAACGTGGCTATTTTTATATTTTAAGTTATTTGTTGAGCCTGTTAAATAGATTTAGAGAAGCATTTTTCTTCTTCATTAAATTGCATTACAATCTTCTGGTTAATTTTGTATTCATCATAGTCAAGTTAAGTCATATTTAGACAGTTTACATTTGACACTTGGTCTCAATATATAGCAAATACAATCTCATTATAATCTTGACAAAAATGTAGAACTCACAGTGAGCTCTTTCAGCAGAGGAGGAATGGACTTCTCCTTGTCTGTCGCTGATTGATCTGACCAGCCAATGTCCTGTGTGATCTCAAACAGCTCGGTAGCCTTCAGGAGTCAAATGCAGTGAAGATGATCATTTTATCAACAACTCAACCTCACATGTGTCTCACGTATTTCTAATCACACTCATTTAGCTTTAGGCTTCCTGTGCTCGTACCTGGGTGCGGAGGTTAGAGAGGACGGGGGCCAGAGCTGTGCTTTGCTCCAGCAGGGTGCGGGCCTGTTCCACCGCCTGCCTCCGCTCTCCCAGGCCGGGCCAGGGGAAGACCCTCGGAAGGCCGGAGGTCTGCTTCTGATACTCAGACAGACGGGCCTCAGCCTGGCCTTGCTGGTACTGACAGGACCCCAGGCGCTCCACAACACCCTTCAGCTGCCTGATGGGTAATAGCAGATTAAAGACAGTTGTTGTTAGGGCTATGAGTTGCAATGAACAACAATGAAATATAGGTTCACATTTTCATTTTGTCAATTGGATTGTTTATGTTGTAATTTTATTTATTTTTTTAAATCTATTCATTATGTTTGTTGAACTGTTTATACTGAAAAGCCCCCTGAGACAAATGTATAGTTTGGGATATTGGCCTACTTAAATACAATTAGATAGGGTTTGAATTTGAGGAACAGGATTCCAACAACAGTTCAATACATAGATTTGATCAAATTTTTTCAAATCCCAGCCTTGTCATTGAAAGGAATTGAGTGTGTTGCTTAAGAACACTTTTAAGATGCCTGATTCCAAAAAGAACTGAACTTTGATAAGAAGTTTCTGTCAGCTGATATGTAACTGAGCCGGTGACATGTATTTCAAAAGAAAAACAAGTAGAGGGTTTCCCTCATCTTCCTGTACCTCTGTGTGTCCTCGGCAGCCTGCAGGACCGTCCTCCACTGCTGCTCAGTGTCTTGGACCATCTTCTGGACCTCCAGTTTCTTGTCTCCCTGCAGATCTTCCTGCTCACACAGACTCTCCACTCGCCTCTTCAGCTCCATCACCTGAGCTTCTCCCTTCGACTTGGAGCTCAAAATAGCCTAAAGACACAATCATAAACAATTTGTAATAGTTATATTTAACTGCTCTAAGTCTTTAATAAAATGATAATTTATTTGACAAACTTCCCTGCATAGGAAAGAACGACTTCACAGAATAAAACAAACCTCAATATTCAAAAACTCTATTCTGATATGTTGCACTGTACCTGTGCTGTGTTCAGTCTGTCCTCTATCTCAGCCCGGCTGCCCTGAGTGCCGCTGCCCTTGGAGTCGGCCTGCTGCTGCAGCTTTTTCACCCACGCTTTGGTGCTCCCTGCTTTGCTGCGGAAAGCCTCCAGCTCCCTGGAGAGCGAGTAATGGACCTCAGCTTTCTTCAGAGTGTTCTCGGCGGTCTCCAGGACGGTCCTCCACTGCTCCTCCGACTCCTTCACTGTCTGCTGAGTGTCTTGTCTTAACGTCTCCTCCAGATCCTCCTGGTCTGACAGACTCTGGCTCCGTTTCCTCAGTTTAGTCAGCTTGGAGTCTCCCTCAGGCTTACAGCTCAGGATAGTCTGAGGATAAAACATGTTTACCTTAATATCTCTAAATGTCATCGAAAGGGTTTTTTTATACAAAGAGAGATTGTTAATACATTTACAAATCAATCTTGGTACTTTAGTTTTAGATTGAAATGATGTACTGTCATGACCAAAACTCAGTTTATTAAAACATTTTTCTTTTTTAATATCCAGTGATGGAAAACTGAGATCTAATTTACCATCAAATATTTTAGAAAGACTTGACATTTTTAATAAAGGGATGAATTCCTACAGACATCATGACTAACAAAGAAACAAAGTAACAAAGAAATGTATCAAGTACATTGAAGGAAAACATATAAACATGTGAAGAAATGAAAACTGAAAAATGCTTAACAACAATTAGCCAATATAATTTAACAAAAAACTCAATGCCACAATTTGTTCTCCAATACTCTAAGCTTCAAACTGACCTGTGCAGTGGTGATTGTTCTTTCTGGATCTGCCTGAACATCCAGAGAGACGAGGCTCTTCTGCTTTTCTTCCAGCCAGGCTTTGGTGTCTTCTTTCAGAGCTTCATATTCCTTCAGCTCTCCCTCCAGAGCACACTGCTTCTCAGCCTGATCCTGGGCCTGTTTAGCACTCTGCAGGACTTTCACCAACTGCTCCTCAGCACCTCTTACTTTCTGCTGAACCTCTTGTTTTGTGGGTTCCTCAAGGTCCTGCCCACACAGAATCTGGCTTTGTCTCTTGAGCTCCTGGAGCATCGAGTCTCCTTTGGTCTTAGAGCTGATAACGGCCTGGGGATAGAAAACAGAAGTCATAATTATCATCTTTTGGTAAAGACTGCTATTGTGTATGTGAAGCCATAAAGGTAATCTTTGATATAGACAGTATTTTGAGACTAAAAACTAAATTGAATGTGACCCCTATAAAACTAATGAGGCTTTAAAGAGGTCTTAATGGTAGTTGAATTTGTGTTTCTTATATAATTAAGACATTTTTTGATCCAAAGAGGACAATGGAGATGTGACCTTCTCCCTGTAAGGTGACCCATCAGCTCACCTGAGCAGATTGCAGTCGGTCCTTGGGTTTGGTTTGGCTCTTCAGTGAGTCCAGTTGCTGTTGGAAGTCTGTGAGCCAGCGGACAGTGTCGTGTTGCTGGGTTTCGAATTCTTTCAACTGAAGAGGAGAAAAGAAACACATAATGAGTTGGTTTAAAAAAAAAAGATTTTTTAAAAACACCTTTCAATGTGAAGGGGAACAACTTTATGACAGTCATTTTTTCCGAGCATATTATGTATCACCTACCACGGCACATGCAAAGCCTCACAATACGCATTTATTTTACTGCCATACCGTTTTTGTTCTGACACTCCTGACAAGTGTACAAAATATGTATTTATTAAACAACATAGAAAGTGTTGTGATGGGTGAACAAATGCTTTTCTTTGAGAATTGTAATCTATCTAAAGGACTCAAAAAAGTAAGAATTTCAAGTTACACAGGAATAAGCTGAATCATTTTGAACAAATCAGTGGATGATTTCCTTAACCAGGACTTTATATGGTGACTCATGATAAACCAAGATGTTACGCTGTCATAGTACTGAAGTACCTCCAGCGTTCTCTTCTCAGTCTTCTGTGAGATCTCGGCTCCTGCAGCAGCCTCCACCTGTTTGGCAGCCTGCAGGACGGTCTTCCACTGCTCCTCTGTGTCTCTGATTGTCTTCTGAACGTGGACTTTCCTGCCCTGGTCTGCGTCCGGATGGTCACACAGACCCTGGGCCCGCCTCCTCAGGTTGTTTACCGTACAGTCGCCTTCAGGTTTGGAGCTCAAGATGTCCTACAAACAAAACAAACGTTTATTACATGTAATAGTTGAATTAGTTCAACTGTACTTACATTTAAAAAGAGAGAATGAAGGAAGGAAAAGGTTTGGCTTTAGCACTTGAAAAACACCATCTAGCCCCTGAGCCACAGATCGCCCCTTGATCCGTGAAAATCTATATCTTGTGAAGATAATTCCTTAATATTCATATACAGTGAATTAAGATGAAACTGACCTGCGCTGTGTGACATCTCTCATCAGGTGGAGTGTGAGCTCCCACAGACTGGAGCTTCTGCTGCCTGTCTCTGATCCAGGACTGAGTGTTTTTACTCTGAGTATCAAAGTCGTCCGTCAGACTGCGGAGCTCTGCCTGCCTGGCGGCCTGCACAACGTTCCTCCACTGCTGCTCTGAGTCTTTTACCAACTGCTGAACCTCTGCCTTCCTGCTCTCCTCCAGATGCTCACACAGAGCTTCAGCTTGTGTCTTCAGGGCGAGCAGCTTGGACTCTCCCTCAGGTTTGGAGTTTATAACAGCCTGAAGGTGAGGACAAAGGTATGGTGAGGAGTTGCCCTAAACTTCACTCCAGCTTCAAACTCATCACTTGTCAACACCACTGGATATATGTCAGTCTAACATGAGGCAGGACAAAAAAGAAAAATGGAGCAATTAGTGTTATTTGTGGCTGATTAAAATGTTTAATACGAAAATATTGTGCATACAAAATAATGATAATGCAATGACAAACCTTCACCTGGATTTAGCCATGAACATACATCCATTGTATCATTTTATCCTATCTGATACTTTAAAAAAAAGTCCAAACCGTTTATGTAAAAATGCAATACTAATACTTAATTGTATTTGTTCACACACTATACATTTTGCACCCTGATATTTGTAGGTTAAGCCTGACCTGTGCGACCTGTAGCCGCTCTTCAAGAGGCATTTGACCACCGAGGGACAGCAGCTTCTGCTTCTGCTCTTTGATCCAGGACTGGATGCTTTCATTTTGGGTTTTGAAAACATCGAAGTCCTTTCCAGTGGCAGCTTCAGTCTCTGCCTTCTTGAGACCCTCCTCTGCAGCCTGTAAGACTTTCCTCCACTGCTCCTCGCTTTGTCTGACTGCGTCCTGAACCTCTCGTCGTCTGCTCTCGTCCAAGCCCTGGTTCTCACACACACTCTGGCATTGTCGCTTCAGATCCTGGAGCTTTGCATCTCCATCCGGTTTGGAGCTCAGAGTAGCCTGAAGAGAATAAAAACAACTCTTTAGGAGATGGCTTTGCATCTATCCTCAAAACACAAACATTTACAAGATGTTATGAAAACCCACCCCGATCTTACAAACTGACCCTGAAACCCTTTTGAACTTACTTTTGCAATCTGGAGTTTTTCTTCAACTTGCATGCAACCACCGAGCGACTGCAGGTTCTGCTGCTGGTCTCTGATCCAGGACTGAACGCTTTCGTTCTGGGTTTTGACAGCGTCCAAGTCCTTCTCTAGCAGAGCCTGTTTTTCAGCCTGGTTGAGATTCTTCTCAGCGGTCTGCAGAGCCGCCCTCCACTGCTCCTCTGTTTCTTTGACTGTCTGCTGGACTTCCTGTTTCCTGCCTTTATCCAGGTCCTCCTGCGCACACAGAGTTTCACTTTGTCTTCTCAGGTTGTTCACTTCAGAGTCTCCCTCAGGCTTGGAGGTCAGGATGGCCTGGGGACAAAATGGAAATATTATACAACTTATGAAAAAGGAAGAATTATTTGCATTGACATTAGCATCCTCATTGAATGAATCATAATGGCGTTTTAATCTTGTCACCGACAGGTTAGATTAAAACTAACGACCTAAATTCCTTCAGCCTCATTTTACTTCGAGATGAATGCTTACATAATTAAGTTTATATTCTAGATTCTATATTTCACAACAATTACAGAGAAGAAGTGGTAAGCTACCCCTCCAACAAAGAACAAACGCAAATAAAAGCAGAATAAGAAAAAGTAGGGGCTTAACTTATGATTATAAATTAAGTAATAAAATACAGTTATATGAATCTGTGGTAACGATGTTGCAAATTAATAAACTAAACTCAAACTGGAATGTAATGTAATTATTTTCCCTTGTTTTTACATGTCTTCTTTAAAAACTACCCTTCTCAATGTCACATGCACTGTCCTCCTGGCTCATGCAAATGTGCTTGTAAAACAGTTAGCTTGTAAATGTAATGTAGTATTTTTCTTTTTGACAAAATTGGAAAAGTAGAAGAAATAAGAATTTCCGATTTGAAGTGTAAAAGCGAGAAAAGGTTCATCAGGCTGGGTTTCACTGACCTGTGCTTTGCGCTTCAGGTCCTCTGTCTGTGAGCCAGGAGAGGTGAGGGGTTTCATGAGGTCAGTGATCCAGCTCCTGGTGCTCTTCGCCTGGCTGTTAAACTCCTCCAGTTTCCCCAGCATGGCGCCCTGAGCCTCGGCCTGTTTTTGCAGCCTGGCTACCAGGTTCCTGTAGCGCTGTATCAGGTTATCACTGTCCTTCAGGAGGCTCTCAGCTCGGACGCCTTGTTTGCGTATGGATGCTAAAAGCTCAGCGAGGGTCTCAGCTCTACCACTGTCACATGGGAAAAAGTGGAAGCAAGGTTTGAACGGATGAAATATAAAAAGACAGCGGAAAGTGAGACAGGAGATAAACACGACAGGTGGTTAGGGTTCCTTCCAAAGTATTTGATTTCATATTTCAATGTCCAGAGTTACCTAATGAACATTTGCTGTGGTCTTAACCGTAAGATATCTGAATAAAATCAGTTCAGTTCAGAGTTCTCTCTAAATTGATGATTGAAATAGAAATTCACCTCTCATCTTGAAGGTCTTTAAGAAAAAGCTTGATTTTTTCCGACTCCACCGCATGTTTTTCTTTGTACTGCAGCCACTCACGGAAGCTGTCGTGTTGCTTCTGCAGACTAGAGGAAAAGAAGACAAAAAAAAGGTTTTAAAAAAAAACACGTTTTCTTATTGGTGACATTTGTGTGCAGATGTGAGAGTCCTGATCAGAAAGGCAGAAGCAGAAATATCCGTGACTTGTTCTTCAGGCAACCAAAGAAGCATTTACCTGTTCAGGTCTCTGAGGAGCGGCTCCATTTGTTCCTGCCGGTTCTGGCAGTGCGTTCTGAACGTAGCGACCTCCTTCTGCTGCTCTTTCAGCCAATCAGTGAACTCAGAGAGCTGCTGGGGAGGAAGCTGCTGGCTGCCTCTCTCACGCTGGTCCTTCAGCTGATCCAGACGTCTCTCTGCATCCTTGGACTTCAAGAAACTCTGATGGACATTAGAGAAACTGTGAGGAGTCATCATCTAACGGGAAATAGTTTTAAGATACACATTAATATATTTATCCACTTACAGCAAGTCTTTGGAGGAACGTTTCCACGTCTGCTCTGCTCTCGGGGTGCTCAAAACATTCATTGACGGACAGCTGCAAGTTCTGGAACCACTCCTCAAACAACTGCTTTTCAACTGGACGAAAATGAACAACGGGATTTAAAAATGGAGTATTTTAAAGGTAAGATCAGTATCGCAAACATTTCCCAAATTGGGATCAATAAAGTGTCTGTCTGTCTGTCTGTCTGTCTGCCTGTCTGCCTGTCTGCCTGTCTGCCTGCCTGTCTGTCTGTCTGTCTGTCTGTCTCTCTGTCTGTCTGTCTGTCTATCTCTCTCCGCAAACTCAGTCCTTACCTGTGATGACCTTGAGAAGGCCTTTGTCTCTTTCCTCTCTCTTCAGGTGGATCATGTCCCTGGTGCGGGAGATGGCCTCCTTCAGCCGGGTGCAGTCCACAGACAGCGCCTCCAGCACCTGAGGGCTGGCTACACTGGAAACCAGACCCACCTCTGTCAGAGCCACCTCCGCCTGCTCCTCCTGAGACTCCAGGTCATCACACAGATGCTGGTGAGGACAGAGAAAGAGAAAACTGTTTTAAAAAATGCTGGCTATTCTAATAACATTAAAATATAATTAAAGGGCCAGTGAACAAACTCCAGATTTAACTGAAGACAAGAAAGGTGGAAAATGCAAACATTTCAAAACTTATTATAGTGATATTCCAATTTCCTTAGGACGGTTTTTATATATAGAGATTGAGGGGATAACAAGTTTAATATAATTATTTTGCTGATTCAGAAATTATTCTGCTTACTTTTTGTCAACCGTTTTGAGTTCAAATGGTCTCAACAGTGATGCAATCTGATATCATTTATCATTTCATCATTTATTGTGATCTAATTATTATCCTTAAAAATAAGTAAAAAATCAGGTCCAAGGATTTTTTTCAACTAAATCGAACAAAACTGTTAAATCAAATTAAATTCTGAAAGCTTCAAATCACAGTTTAATTCTCTAGTGTGTATCACATTTAAAAGGAAAATCCAATACTAAGCTCTATAAAATAAACATTAAACCAGAGTGAGTTACAACAGATAGCAGCTGCGTACCTGTATCTGCTCTTCGGCCTTTGGTTGTGACGCGTCCACACTACTGAGAGAACACTGGATGCCCTCCACAGCTGACTGGCACTCCTCCACCTTCTCAGAGAGGTGTTTCTTCACAGCTACCAGTTCCTCAAAGACGTCGGAGCAGTCGGCAAACAGCTCCTTCACCTGCTCCATCCTCTTCCTCAGCTGGGTTTCCATCACCTGAATCATTGTAAAAAGGGTTCAGACATTGTAAAAACAATGAATCTAGAGACCATAACCATTGAATGTGGATTTAAATAAAAATAAGACCAATGAACTGTTCGACTCACCTGCAGCTCCAGTGGCGCTTCCTTACCCTGCAGCATCGCCTGGATCTCTACAGACTTCTTGTGGAAGTGCTCAATGTTCTCCTCATTAGCATGGATTTCATCCTGAAACCCACCAACAAACTTAAATAAATAAAAATCACATAACACAATCTTGTTTATCAAACGTGTCACACTGGTTAAAATGTTCAGACTAAATCATTAACAAAATAAAACGGTTCCTCAGGGTAGCAATAAAGCTCCTGTATTTTTCTGTTATGGGAATCTTACCTTCATGGCAAGCACTTGTTGCTCGCTTTGGAAGTGATGGCTTTCTGCAAATAGGGCCAGTTTGGCCCCAGCCCAGCTGTCCACCTCTCCCCCCAGCATCAGCTGCTTCTCCCATAGCTCCTGCCCCACCTGCAGGTTATCTATGTAGGCATCCGTCTTCTCCGTCATCTGCAAGGGCACCAAAAATATAACATTTTAGGTTAAGCTGGAACAGAAGTGTTCCCAATAAGAGTTAGAAAATGGAATTTAGTCCTTGTTTAACTTGCTAAGCGATATTATATGTATGTTTTTATGTTAAATGGAGCCTTAAGAGTCAAGTGATAGAAATATATTTAGTTTGGTCTTAATCCTTAATGTGTTTATGGGGATGTTTATCTGGATCAGTAATGAAGCCTTTGTTGTTGTAGTACTTAGTACGACCACAAGAGGCAGAAGTACACCACTACCTCATGTTGTCAATAGGGCTAAAAGCATTCATGTTTTATTTTAAGTGAGTCTTAAATTCTTTATGTATCCTAAAAAGTAAAACAAAGTTAGAAATCTGTCTTTTCCCCGGGCCTTTCTTACATCCAGCCAGTTGTCCAGGAGTGTGTCAGCCTCAGCTTCGAAGGGGGTCTCACTGCAGTCTGGGAAGTTTTTCAGTTGGGACTGCAGCTGTCTGCAAACACCCTTCATCTCCTCCATTCGCTCCCCAACACCACCGAGCCCCTCCTTAATATTAGAGACCTGCACAGACATGAGATGTGGACATACATTATACATGAAAATAAAGTGACGGCCATCTTCTGGTCTGCTTCTGCACACTCTAATTACATCCTAAAAACACAACATGAAGGGATTTTGTCAATAAACTGGTTTGGTTTTGATGACTCACCATGGTAATGTTTCTCTGCAGGTTTTCCTTGCCCAGGTAGGAGGCCTGATCACTGATGGTCTGCTCAGCTTTCTGCATGGTGCTGCTCAACTGACTGCGGCAGGCCTGGAATTTCTTCAGGAGCTCCAGCAGGATGCTGCACTGCTTCTTCCTGTCAGAGAAGGAACATAACAGAGTGGATTTTAGGTGACACACTTGCTGTGTTGAGCTGAATGTGCTTCTCCTGCCTTAACCTACCTGTCTTTAAATGCTCTCTGAGTATCCTTCCACTGAGTGTCCAGCTCCTGAAGGAGTTCCTCTCCTCCTCCCTGTTGATCTTGAAGTTCATGGAGGTTCTGTAGCTCTGCTTGCACAGCCTGCACCTGACCCTCCAGATCCGACAGGGCCCGAAGCCTGGTAAATACCGGATTATTAACAAGAGATATTTTAGGGACACAGGCTTTTAATTCTTTAAGTAAATGTCAAAATGCTACTTTTCTTATATTAAGAAACATCTTTTTTGTGTGCGCAGTATACAAACCATCATTCAAAATACAATTCCCACTCAAAACACTTGAGCAACAGTTAAACAGCAAAAGCATAGAGAACACATTTGAAGCCCTGTAAAACACTGAAATAAGCTTTAGTGTTTTTGCATCAGAATAAGGATGTTTGACACACACCTGTGTTGCACAGCCGGCATGGTGGGCTCCTTCAGGCCCTGTGCTTCAATGGTTTCCTGTAGTTTCCTCAGATCCCCCAGCAGTGTCCTCTTCCTCAGGCCTAGCGATCTGCTCTGTGTCTCCTTCTGCAGCCCTTTCTGCTGGCTGGCAAGGCCACTGTCAGCCTCCTCCAGCCTCCTGACCAGAGCGGTCACCATGTCCAGGCAGGAGGCTGGGGCACCATCCCTGGTGACCGTTAGCCTGGCCCCCTGCAGGAGCGCGTCCAGCTGAGGCGCCTTCTCTTTCAGACTGTCCACGCTCTGCCGGATCAGAGCCAGCTTGGAGCGACAGTCCTGCAGGATCACTGTGTCACTGCAGGGGGCGCCTTGGACTCCAGAGATGTCTTCGTCCACAGTACGCAGAGACATGAGGAAGCGGTCAAGGGCGCGGGCGGCGGCTTCGCTCTTCCGGACCTGCTGACGAAGCTGATCCAGGCTGCTTCTGTGAGTCTCCACCTCCCGGGACAAAGGGAAGCAGTCTCTGGGGTCCAGATCGCTGGACTCAGGGTCCAGACGGGACAGCTGGTCCAGCTCGCTCTGGATGTTGTCATCCAGTTCCTGTGAGAAAAAGAAACAACGTGCAGGTGAGATATGGTTTTATTCTGCACATAGTTGTATGCACTCCATGATCTTTTTACATTTCAGTTTAACCTCTTAGTCACAAGCAACATCTGTAAAATAACAAGCATTTTGTTTTAAAGAGGGATCAGGCATGAAGTAATGATCAACTGATTCTTTTCTATAGTTTTGTCTGTAAAACATCAGAGTTTTATATTTGATTGTATTCACTTTTTGCTGTTTTTTTTTTACTGTATATTTTCTATTAGTTCAGATAGCTAGCACCGTTTTTGTATATTCCTCTAGTAAATCATGCTCTCATAGAGGACTCATTATGAACCAAATGTACTATTGCAGGCATAACTTTGTGTCACACTGACAAAGAAGGCAAATAAAAATAGTATTCACGGCAGACAGACCTTGATGTCTTTGAGTATGTTGCTGTTGGCCGGTGTGAAAACGGTGATGTCTTTGGGCTGCCTCAGGTAGCGGTCCAGGCGGTCGGTGAAGTCCACCATGTGGTTCTCTGTGGAGTCGATCTGCCTGAGGGCGGCGCCCAGCGAGCTGCCCCTCCGCTGGAGTTTGGACTGTTGTCCGCGCCACTGATCCTGCAGCCCTGCCTTCTGCTGCTCCAGACCAGAGTTGCCGCTCAACTGGGAACACTGGGAGCACTGGTTTGCAAACTCAGACCACAGAGACTCTGTCTCCTGCCTCAAGAACTGGGAAGGAGCAGGACAACTCAAGATTACTGCCATGTTTTGGGGAATCATTTAGTTAGTAAATACAGAACAAAAACAACTACAGACACTGAAACAATGGTCAATAATGAGTTAATATGAAAATCTGTTTATGCACACATTTGATCTGTACCTGTATTTCCTGGAGCCGCGTATGCAGGCCTTTCAGAGATACGGAGTCAGAGGGAACATCCTTGATGCTCTGCTCAATTTTGGCCAGCTGGGCTTGCAAAGGCCTTTTACAATTCTCATATCTGGAGATTTTACAAGTTAAAAACAGGAAAACAAGTTAAACATGGAATATAATGACCTCCTGTACGTATGTTCTGTTAGCATATCAAATCCTAGACTTTGCTAAAGTCAGTTTACCTTTCTAAAGCCTCCTTTTTGCTGACTTCTTCCTCTACAGATGCCTGCTTTTCCACCTCCCTCTTCTCAAGAACGACTGTCTTCATTGTCACTTGAGAGACCTGAAAAAAAGAGGAATGGCATGATTTAGGTTTAAACCTCTGTCGGGTTCAAAAAGGGAATAGTTTGAATTGGAGTGAGTCATACCTCAGCTGAGACCTGAGGTTTGTCACTGGGCCTTTTAGGCTCCTTCTGTGTGGTCGCATCGTCACTGAAGGCAACAGGAATCCTGAGAAAACAGAAATGATAAGAAGGAGAAAAGGATAATCATTTCCATTGTGTTACCCTTTAACGTTCCATCTGAACTGCAAAGAGAGTGTCTATTCTAAAACATCAAAATATGTTTTTGGATAGTGTGCCTAAAGACATTTGAAGGACCGCATGATCAACAAATCATCTGACTCATGATCCGCCTTCATCATTTCCAATCACATCCCTCTTAAGAGGTATATCCAGACTTTTTACAAGACAAGTTAAAAAAATAATTAAAAGAAGGTATATTTATATTCAGATTTAGTAATTAAATATATTACTTGCTCATTGTCTGCTCTTTATCACTTAATGATATCTCACCTAGAATCAGGGAGGGATGAGTCTTGGTCTCCACTGAACTGTCTCTGGATATCAGCCAGCCTTGTCTCGCACTCCCTCAGCTGAGTCTGGGCCAGGCAGTGAGCGTCCTCGGGGCTCAGGGTGTCACACAGCTCCTTCAAGGCCTCCAGGTGCTGCCCTGCCTGGGCAAAGCTGCCCTCCGCTGAGAAACAGGCCTGGTGCATAAACAGGCATGGTAGTGAGTCGTTTTGAAGCCAGATGATGCTTAAGAATATCAAGTATATCTCAAGATCAGTTTTCACAGGTTAACAGACATACTGCAACACACAGAAGCACCACCCAGATGACTGCAGCCCACAGATGTATTGCTAAAAAAGATAAAATGCTGTTTTCATCTTTTATGTCATTTATTCTATATTATTAGTATAACATATAACTGTTGTGTTTGTTTTAAAGTCCACATAGGTACAATGAAATCAAGATACAAAAACTAGTTTTATGGTTCTGTAAACACACTTGACAAAAACAGCACTCTCTTTTTGAGCAACCAGAATAAAGTATTGCAATTACCAAGTCCCAGTGAAAGAGTTTCCATGAAGGCATAAAAGAAGACAGAGTAAAAGTTAAGCAGAGAAAAAAACTTTCTGAAAACCCATCCATCAAAGCCAAGAGTATAGCTCTAGTTATTTAGCTACCTGCGCTTGGTTTTCTAAGGCGGAGCTTAAGTGCATCTCACACTGCAAGGCGGCTTTGTTAAACTCTTTCCTTGTTACTTCAAAACGTAATTGTTGCAAAAAGCCTGAGATATCAGCTCTCACAGCCTGGGAATAAATAAAATGCATAAAAAGAGAAAAACATGACATGTTAGAACATAGTCTTCAATAAAAGGTTTATTATATGAATGTTTTATATGCAAGCAAATGAACAATTTGCTGACATTCATTTGTAAAATGGGCAAAATCAAAACTTTTGCTACAGTTTCAGTACATTTGTCCTTGACATGCACAAGCAATTATCAGAGAAACTCAAAGAAAACAACAATTCAAACTTGTAAATGTGAACATTTACAAGCTATAAAGGTCCCAGAAATCTAAATCTCCAACAGTTAATGAGTGTGTCCTACCTCCCACTGTGTTCTGATAGACTGGGTGAAAAACTCCATGTCTCTGAGCTGTGGCGGTGTACAAAAGGCCTCCATGCCCTTTGCTGCTCTCAGGAACTCTTCCAGCAACTCTGGGTCCAGGGTCTTTAGAGTCTCCTGAGGGGTAAAGCACACATATAATTGCAGACTGGTTCCTTTAAAAGGATTGAACCTCATTTTGGATAAAGAGAGTTGTTAATTTTGGCACATTATATCTGTAATATCTTCCCGTTAAAGATTAAGACAGCACCCATTGTGTATCTATTCTGCACCTCCTGGGTGGGGCCAATGACCTCTTATAACATGAACACTTTGCAGTTTAAAGGTCTTTCATACAGAATTGAGAGCTACTATGACGTTGGGATTGCCTCGACACAGCTCTCAAAATGGCGATGGCATAGCTGGCGGCTATCAGTGAACTGTGCTAACAGTGCAAACAATGAAAACAGTGCAGACGGATCCAACAATTTGCCGTTTGTGTAACCGGAGGTATGACGTGAAAAATTGGGAAAGAATGGCGTGATGGGACGGCATCATCAGCGATTACCGCCGTATAGTTGAGAGCCGCAGCCATTAGCTAGCTAGTTAGGCAGAATCGCATGGGAACCTATAGGGACTCACATCCACGTACATGCATGAGGATGTGGGTGTGGTTGAACCGACTTTGCACTTCTTATACTTAGCATGAATAGCGCCTCTACAGGCGGTGGTCACTTTTGCATGTTTCATTGTGCCCTAAAATGTACAATTAAAAGTTGTACTTAAATGTATAAAAATGATTGCATTTACCTCTTTCACTGATGCTTGCTCGGCCGATAAACACTTGTCTCTAAAAACGTTGATGGTTTCCAGGATGTGTTCCTGCAGACAGTGCTTTGCTTCCTCAAATCCGTTTCTGGCCAATGCCTGGGCCTTAGCGTAAGCCTCCGTGTAGGCCTGGGCAGGTGCCTGGGCCAGGGCGGGAGGTTTAATGAACAGGTCTGGTGAGTCCGGCATAGACTCAGGCCGAACATTGACCTGGGAGAGGAGAATGGTTTGCGGCTGTTGAGGTCTAGCCTGTGGGGGTGATTGGGCCTTAGATTGTGGTCCAGTTTGGGACTTGGGTAGTGGGGGTGAATGAGCTTGAAATTGAAGCTGTGGTGGAAATTGTTCCTGGGTTTTGGGTTGTTGAAATGATTGGGCTTTAGGTTGGGTTGGTGACTGAGCTTCAGTTTGTTTTGCTGTTTGGGCCTTTGGTGATGATTCAGACTTGGGTTGTATTGTTGACTGAACCTTGGGTTGAGTTGCTGATTGAGCTTTATGTAGTGGTGCTGTTTGGGCCTGTGGTTTTGGTTGTGGTGGTGTTTCGGACTTGATTGATGAACGATCCATGGATTGAGGTGGTAACTGGGGCACAGGAAGGGGTTGTGGCATTGGTTCAGCCTTGGGTTTGGTTGGTGACTGAACCTTAGGTTGAGTTGGTGATTGAACATCTGGATATGGTGCTAATGGGGCCAAAGGTTTGGACTGTTGAGACGATTCACCCTTTGGTTGAGTTGGAATCTTCTGCTGTGATTGGAGCTGGGCCTGATGTCTGGGCTGTGGAGGTGGCTGCTGAGTCTGGGCCTGGGGCTTTGCTTGTACTAATGGCTGTCGCTGGATGTTTGTTTGGGACTGGGCCTGCAGCTGGGGTTTAAGCTGTGGATGAGCTTGATGTGGTGGTTGTGATAGGGGAGGTGCCTGAGCTTGCATCTGAGGCTGAGGGTTAAGCTGAGTTTGATGCTGAACCTGTGAATATTGCTGAGTTTGAGGCTGGGGATAAGGCTGAGGATAAGGCACTGGATAAGGCGGAATTTGAGGCGATGCCTGAACCCAAGTCTGTTGTTGTTGCATGGCAGTCTGGGGACTCACCTGGGGTTGGGATTGAGGCCAGTGTTGTGGCTGTGTTTGCACATGACGAGCATATGATGGCCCCATGTGAGAAAACCCAATGGACACAGCCTGAGGTCCCTGCTGTGGTCCAGGTTGGGGCGACTGCGGTAGAGCCTGAATTGTTGGATAAGCCTGAGACTGTGGAATTTGACCCATTTGTGGAGGATATGGTGGGGATATTGGATGCCTCTGCTGGGTATTGGGTTGGTTTTGAGGCTCTAGTTTGGATGTCCACTGCTGGGAAGGAGACTGAGCCTGTGGGTAAGCTGGGGGGTAAGCTGGGGGGTAAGAAGGAGGTTGTGCTGTTGCCTGTGGATGCTGGGCAGACATTGGGGATGAGACTCTAGCTTGGGTCCAAGCGTGGATTTGCCCCTGGGACATAGGGACTTGGTGCTGGACCTCTGGCTGAGCATGTGTGGGATACGGAGGCATAGGCTGAGAACGACCCTGAGTCTGGCCTAGGGGTAGAGGTTGAGCTTGGGCTTGATGTTGAGTTGGAGAATGGACATGACTTGGCCTGGCCATTGGTTGAGGATGGACCTGAACCTGTGCTGTCGACTGAGACTGGGTCTTTGGCTGAGGATAAGTTTGAATATGGACCATGGACTGAGCATGGGCCTGAGACGGGGGCATTGCCTGAGGATGGATTTTAGGCTGGGGCATTGCCTGAGGCTGTGTTGGGGACTGGGGCATGGACTGAGGATGGATTTGAGGCAGGGGCATTGACTGAGGATGGATTTGAGGATGGGGCATTGACTGAGGATGAATTTGAGGCTGAGGCATTGACTGATGATATGTTGGGGACTGGGGCATTGACTGATGATATGTTGGGGACTGGGGCATTGACTG